GAACCCTGTACCACTCAGCAACGACAAAAGAGGGACAAGAAGGAGGCTATTAATGAGGAAGCGGCTGTTTCCTTTTTATTAGATTTGCTGCTATTTTTGCCATTCTTATAATGATCTGTATCTTCAGGCCAATGTTGAACTTCAGCCAGAGCATAATTTCGGCATGACTGTGACAGGAAGAACTAGAGGCCGGACTGGGCTGAAGGTGGTTCTCAGAGTTTCTGACCCAGATGCACAGCAGCTGGAGGGAAATGTACAGGAGCTGAGTGATGAGATCCAGATCCAGGTACAGTAACTAAACATGCTGGAGGTAATCTTGTGTAAGAATTGTTCATCTTTCATCCCAGCACCAGTATTATAAATAATTCAAACCTGTTTTATGCACTTCTCTGCTCGTCGCCACTGTGTTCCCTGCTGCTTTATGTTGAAAGCTTGCTTTTGTGACAGCAGAATATTGAAAATGCGGAGGTTTGGAGGATCTTTGAAGAGATAACACTTCAGATTAGCTGAAGCTGAATGCATCTGTCTTCAGGGCTTTAATAAACTATGACATGTCACTAGCGCAGAAACATCAAAGCCTGCTGAAGGTCCTCTAATAATTTGAGTTTCAACGCTCTGCTTTAATCAAGGTCTATGACAAGCTGCACATGCTTAATCCTCAAGTAGAGGCTGAGAAGATACTAATGGCTCCAAACTCGGCTCTCAAACTCCAAACTAACAGGTGAGTCGCCTGTTGTTGTTGTTGCACAATGTCTTTATGGCATTAATATGAAAAACAGACACAGACAACCAGTGTTTTCTAAATCGTAGAAATGCCATACATAACATCATGTTATTTTTCTTCTATCAAACAGAGATGGGGTCGGTGTGCTCTCCTACCGGATGCTAGATTGCCCTGACCAGCTTGTTGTCGCTCAAGTTGACAATAAGGGCTTTCTCTCATCTGGCTCTCTCACTGGGATATCTTCATTACTGGTCACCTCGCAGGAGATTTTTGGCGTCAATCAAACTCTCATCCTTACTGTGAAGGTCAGCTCAGTTTGTTGAAAACAATTTATATAAGAGTTTAAAATCTTATGAGCTGTAGCCCTAGAAAAGCAATGCATCCTTTTAAACTCGCCATCAAATTTGGTCTCACAATACCAACTAGGTCTTAATTTATGTAAAGTCTACAATTCTTTAATCTCAATTAAGAGGTGTTTTTTCTTTTTTTCTTTTTTATTTCTGTTGAAAATAGGCTAGAAGCATTTAAATGTGCTTTTATCTAACTGTTTTTAGTTAAGAAAGTTCAAATCCATTTAGTTTATTTATATAGCGCCATTTCACAACACGTCATCTTGAGCACTTTACAGACACAATTTAGTCAGATCATGTAGTCAAATTGGTGAAAAGTTGTATAATTAAAATCAATTGATTACATATGGTCATTGACTTGTAGGATTTTCTCTTCCTGGGTGAGCATGTGGCCACAGTAGATATTCGCTTGCATCTTGTTGTTGACACTACAGCATTCTTCCACAACAAGCATGCACAAAGTGAAGGGGAAGAGGAAAACTCCCTTTTAGCAGGAAGAAAGCAGAACCAGGCTGAATGTGGGCGGACTTCTGCTGAGGCCGACTGGGAGTTTAAGGAGGCAGACACAAAATGAAACTAGAAGCACTAATCCATAACCATTTGATAATGTACCAAAGCTAAATTGCAACATTTTATGTCATGTTATGTCTTTTAATCTGCAAGTTATAATGGATGCATGACAATATTTTCATTCTTAGCTTGGCGAATATTAATATTCATTTAAGAGATTCTCACACGCGTTTGGAGTCAATCTGACATTTTCTTTGAAAGCACCTGTTAAGAGTTTTTTTTTTTTTTTTTTTTTCTTTGAAAGCACCTGTTAAGAGTTTTTTTTTTTTTTTTTTAAACGCCAACCCTTTTCTTCATTCCTCAGGTGGTTCCTGTGTCTTATGTTCGCTTCAGTACCAGTCCAGTGCTTTACACGCTCACTAGAGAGGGCCTGAACGCCTTTCCTCTGGGAATACTCCTCACTTTCACTGTGCACTTTCATGCTAGCACCGGAGAAGCCCTGCACAGCTCAAACTCCCAACTTGCATTTTCTTCAAACAGGTCTGTCAAATTAAATATTTTAAGCAGAATTTAAGAATCCGCTCTATTGGTGTTAAAGCAATGGATAAAGTATTCAAACATCAAATCATAGATTTCTAGATATTTCAAATATGGAACAATAATAACTTTTCCACATTATCTGTTCACCTTAATTATTCCTTAATTTTCATTTTACTCTTGTATAATTTTCGTTTATGCCCTTTAATGAACATTATGCTGCCTTTTTAAGACTGAATACCACTGAGCATATCTATGACCCATACAGAACACAGGAGGGAGCAGTATTACTTTTGGTGTGGAGAGAAAGCTGCTGGATTTCTCCCCACTGAGGTTAATTCCATGTGATTTAGGCCCTGTTGCAGTAGAAGAGCAGGGTTTGGTTTTTATAGCTCATGTAAAGTAAATGCTGCTTTACTGTAGTAACATAGTGTACTAGGAAGGGATTTTTTTTATTTTGCTTTATTCTTCTAGAGCTGCTCGGTAATCACAAAAATATCAGGGAAGGGAAAAAAAACAAAAAACAATGATAAACCTTATGATCAATAAGACGATCATTTTTATGTTGTTTTACTCATTGGGTTTAGAAATGTTACATTTCTTTCATTAAACAAAATAAGTAGGATTTGGCTAAATGCACTTCTTGATTCTTTTCTGTTGTAATATTTTGAAGCCTAAACTAATAAATATTAATTAGATGAAGTAAAGGGTCCCACTGCAATTACTTGTAGACCATGTTTTTAAGGCTTGCTTATTCAGTTTTGTAAGACTAAAATTATGTCCCCAATTAAACCTAAATAATTTTGCAGCTTTTATTCTAAGGTGCAATTTCTTCATTTATTTTCAGGTTGAAATTCGACGGAAGATGTGAATTTGTACTTTTAATTAGACCATTAAGTCCTTGAAGCTTTGTACAAAGAGTATATTTTAGCAAAGCACCATATTTAGAGCAGTTAGTACATGTACTTCCTAATTTCTGGATGAGGCGCACAGAATGACCGCCTCTAACTGGAGCTGAACTGATTTGTTTTTTATCATTGCCTAACTTGTCTTTAAACAGGTTTTACATAAGTCACATGCACTCATGGTCTGCAGAATGTTTTTGCACACAGTTAAAAAAATAATAATAATAAATCAGTTCACATCAAGATATGTTTGCTGATTGTCATGGTGGAAGCTGAAAACGACACGCTGACTGTTGGTTCGGATGTGTTTGATGCTTCCTGAATGCAGCTAATGGTGCAAAGCAGCCATTCTTCCTGATGCCTTAAGATGTTAAAGTTTAAAATTCCTTGATTAAAACCTTATTTTCACAACGGTTTAAAAAAAGGGCGCTGTTTTATGCATTTTAGTCAGGTGGAAAAAAGCCAGTAAAGACGACTTTTTCCCAAAAGTACAAATTTTCTGACAAATTACAAAGTTGAAAAGAAAACTTCTCTTAAGATCAAAGGTTACTAAAATCACCAAAGAGTACATTCATGAGAGATGTGCTAAATTGAATTTTGTAACCTTGCTCTCATCCATTATTTTCCTAAAGCTTTGTCCTGCTCATACAGAATTTAGCATTTTTTTTTTTGTCTTTTAAGAAAATATGAGAACCATTTTGAAAATCTATTTCTACTCGCTGCTATGAGCAGTTATTATTTTTAACTGGAGTCAAGTCAGTATTAGTGGCTGGAGTAGGACTCAATATTGTATAAAAAATAGAACCTGTATGTATTGGTCAGAAAATGGTTCAAATGTTAAGTCATTTTGTATTGAAGTTATTCTACTTTTCTGAACTCTCATATCTACCAGTTTAAAGATAGATTTTTATGAAACTGGCAGAACTGTGATTATTTTACAACTAGCTCATTTTGAATAGATGTCTATAAGCAAAGCTTGTAGACATTTATAATTACAGTAATTGTCATGGTATCCCACTCAGACCTACCATTTCAAATTAAAATGGAAAACGGGTTTTAGGTTTAATTAATTCCCTAAAATTACCCAAGGCAGCAAAGCCTCATCATCTAATAAGAGACAGGCTTTCTATTCTACAGAATTCTGCTGAATTTTCAGAGCAACTTTTGTCGATTAATTATTTGTGAACAATATCATTTATCAAAGTGTAATGGAGCTGAACAAGGTGGCATGCTGAAATATTTTAGTTTTACTTAGTGATGCCCTGGGACTTAACTGTTTTCTCTGCATGTGTTTAGTCCAATCCATTTGGTCATTAAAATTATGGCAATGGGCTTCTGCAATTCTTCATTAATTAAAAACATAAATTTTTCTTAATCCGCCTAAAAGCTGAATTTACTGTTCTTTTCTATTCCTGAGGTAGTGCCCTAAGTTTGTGGAAGTGCTGGGCACAGAGGAGAGTGGCTGTCCTTTTAGGGATGTGACTATAGTCATTTCTTGCTTTCTAGTTCTTGAGATAATTTTAGAGCAACAGCATTGAGCTCTGTTGTTAAAGTCCTGATTGTGTGGGAACTGCCAACACTGGCCTGTAATTAAAACCTAAAGTCCCAAAGAGACCAATTGGGCTGAATATCTGAGATTTAAGTTATATTTGCCTGGACTTGAATTACATTTAATTTAAGGTAAACTAGAACACTATCCTAGACAAGCACAGAAACCTGCCTGGTAATTAAGAATTCCTATCAGCTTAATGGCCAAGATGTGACCACAAACAAGGAATTTGAATTTCGTTTCACACACTCAGTGCACAGTCATTAAAAATGTATAAATACTTTGGAAGGTTTGCTTTCACAGGGTATACACAAAGCTTCTATGTACTACATAATATTTGGTGTAATTCAGGTGTTTACAGAACAAAACTGTTGAACATGTTCTAAAATTATTTAAAGCTACAGTGTGTAATACAGGGATATACAGTCAGAAATGTAATATATTATACATAACTATGTTAATTATCATCATCTACGAACTCAGCCTCTTAACCTTAATATTTGCGTTGCCTTAGAATTCGTTATTTATAATTACATAGGAGCGGGTCTCGCAGCCATGGAGGCAGACATCTTTGCGCTACGGCAGCGCAGAGCCAACAAACTAGCGATTGCGAGATCGCCCATTACGCTCGAAAGTAACTACGGCAAGTTGTTTAAGTCTACATGAAATCTATACCCTACACAGACTAATGAAATACTATCTGTAAAATTATCTATGTAAACAAACCTCATCACTTGAGAAGGTAGGTGATGCGGACGTCGTGGAAGACATTTTGTCCCGTAACGCTCGCCGTACTGTTGGGGGGGAGAAGCGGTGGGGGGGAGATGTTCATGTTGCTGCGGTCTGCAGTCTGGACGTTAGATGTCGCTGAAAATTACACACTGTAGCTTTAAAGCAAAGATATAACAGCATGATAGCTATATTACTAGATCACTCATGTTCATTTTACGGTGTACATATCACTTGCCATTTTTGCCATTGTTACATTGACCTATGGCATTCTGCTTTCTTCCAGGGATGATCTGGTACAGCTAGGAGTCGGCCCCACTAACCACTCGCTGTCCGTGAGAACCGTCAATGTAGGTCTCACACTTGTTGCAGTGTGGGATAGTGAAAACATGGGTGTGGCAGACTATGTTCCACTTCCTGTTGAACATGCCATTTATATGGATGGAGCCAACAAACTGGTTGTGGGTGATGTGGTCTGCTTCCAAGCCAAGTTAACAAACCCAGATGGTGAGTGGGGCATTAATTGCACAAAACCATTTGCATGCAAAAGCCTACAAATGTTACATTAAGAAATTTTATATACACTACTCAAAAAATAAAGAACACATGAACAACACATTTAATCAAACTTCAGTGAAATCAAACTGTCAACTTACGAAACAACACTGATTGACAATCAATTCCACATGCCGTTGTGCAAATGGAAACAAGTTCACACTGAGCACATGTGACAAATGGGACAGTGTCTGGAGACACAATGGAGAGCAGTCTGCTCCCCGCCAAATATTTCAGCATGACCGTTTTGGCAGTAGGTTAGTAATGGAGTGGTGTTGCATTTCTTTGGCAGGCCTCTATGTGTTCACCAGAGGTAGCATGACTGACCTTAGGGACAGAGAGATGATATCCTCAGACCCCTATTGAGACCATATCCTGATGTGGTTTGCCCTGGGTTCCTGCTGACAAGGAAGGCATTGAAGCTATGGACTGGCCCGCCTGTTCCTCAGAGCTGAATTCGGTTTAGCACATCTGGGATGTGCATCACTTTACTCCAAAGACTGTCCAGGAGTTAGTGGATGCTTTAGTCCAGGTCTGAGAGGAGATCCCTCAGGAGACCATCCACCACTTCATCAGGAGCACGCAGAGGTGTTTTAGGGAGTTAAAGGCATGTGGAGGCCACACACAATACAGAGCCTCATTTTGACCATCAAACCTGGATCAGCCTGTATTGTGTTTTTCCACTTAAATTTTGTGTGACTCCAAACCCAGGCCTCGATTGGTTAATACATTTAATTTCCATTGATTTTTATATATATTTTTTTTTTGTGTGTGTGAAATTGCTATCAGGACATTCCACTTTGTACAGAACAAAGTATTCAATGATAACATTTCATTCATTCAGATCTAGGATTACATATACATATAAATAACACTTATGAGTGTTCCCTTAATTTTATTTTTTTACTTGTTCTTTGCATTTTATGTTTCTTCCCTGATACTTAATACAATAAGAATTACATTTGCTACTGAATATTTATAGCTCAGATCATTTCCCTCCCTTCCTTTTTAGGTGCTTATGGTACATGGAGCTCCTCAGCAAGTGGGGTCCTCCAGGTGGACCCTAAAAGTGGTGCAGCTGTAGCCAGAGACTCTGGGACAGTTACTGTATTCTATGAAATACCTGGTGTGTTGAAAACATACAGAGAGGTTAGTTATTTATTTACATTAGTTTTAATATATTCTTATGATTTGTTTGTTTTTATGAGCATGATGAATAAAAAGCACTTTTTTTCTCTTTACATTCTGCACAACTTTCTGGCTCGTTAAGTTACTTCAGTGGTTCTTGCATCTGTTAACAAATCAGCTAACTATATTATAAAAAAACAACAGTTTTTTTTTTGTAGAGCTGTAGAATACACTCATTTGTATCAATCAGGAGCATTTTTTAGTGCATACATTGTTTCTCTTTAACTTGTACCACACTTTGGGAATCCTGGGTTAATTTGCTCTGGTCCATTTTCAACCTTTTTGTTACGCAAGAAATGCATTAGAAAAGTGAGACACGGTGATATGTGTTGAGATTTTATCAAATAGCTACAATGTTTTTCTCATTGTTTGAAAAGACCTCAATATACCAGATGTGGGTAAATTAATATTAATTCAATTAAACAAAATTTATTTGACCCCAAAGTGAAATTAATGTTGTATAGAGAGAGAGCTGTTTTATAGCTTTAGGCAGGAAGGATCTCTTGTTGCAGTCTGTCTTGCAGCACATCTGGAGAAGCATCTGACTGAAGATCCTCTGTTGTTGTTCAAGAGTCTTCAGAAAATGATGCTAAGAGTTGTTCCTTACTGTAAAAATCCCAGAGATTCTAGTGAACAGAACCAGGCTGCTTTTCAACTTGTTAAGCATTTTAAACTTAATTTCTTTAATGCTGTTACCCCAGTAGATTATAGCAGAAGAGATCAAATCACACAATTTCAGATACGGCAAAACATTAGATGGAAGCAATGTAACCAACGTAATCTGTTTCACCCCGTTTTCATTTCAGCACTGTAAACAAACTCATTTATACCCACATACAAAACTGTTTATCAGCTTATTTCCCTAAAAGTGAAATTATTCAAATGATTTATATTGGTAGTTAATTGAAGATGTGGCTAAATTAAAAGAAGAAAACAAAAACCTCTTGGTTTATTTCAAATATTAGCGAGAATAAAATAGAGAACAGAAAAAAAACACATACAAATTCATGCTTGAGGACACAGACCATTCGGTTAGTGGATCCAAAGAGAAATTAAATCAATTTCATTTTTCCATTACCCACTGAACACAGGAAGTGATATTATTGGTTTACCTCCAAGGGTAAATATCAAAGTTATATATATTATCCTTGCTAGGAAAAAAACAGCTTGATGTTGATGATCCACTAAATACTGATTCCTCAAAAATCAGTATTTACACTTGAAACCTATTTAATGAAGGAAATGTACAGAAACACCTCAGCTTAGCTATATTGTTAATTTATATTATTTATTTACTGTTGGTCTCTTCAGGTTCTGCCTAGATTTGACCATAGTAAATTTAGTAAATGACCATTAATACATTTCTCCACTGTGAGATCAATAAAGTCAGTCAATCAATAACAGTTTTAACGGACTTGAAATGTCCTGGATTTTATCATATTAATTACTGTTATCCTTAGTGTTGATGTGAGTATAACAAACATTGCGTAAAAGTAAAAAAAAAAATAAAAATATGACCGGGATGACTGAGAATCTTCACCAGCATAAAACAAACATGTATAGCAACATTTATGAAAACACGGGACAAATTCTGTCTATTTTGGTTTCAATACAGGACACAAAATTTAACTGCCAAATAAAGGGATTCCTTATTAGAGTCCATATTTTATCCGATGGTTGGCAACCCCACCACCTGTCAACATAACAGACCATGTGCCCCTTTCCAAGTATAATTTCATGAATAATTTAATAAAATGTTAGTGCAGAAATGTGAAGAGGGAGAAAATTGTTAGTTACTGGCAACAGGGTGTGGATCTGAGTAAAGTAAATGTTTGATAGAAAAGACCCTTTTCCTTAGCTGAAAGAATAAGGTACCAAACAATTAAAGCTAGGAAAGGGGTAAAATAACCCCCCATCCCTCTGAATGTGGAAGAAGTTTGTTTATTTTTTTGTTTTTTACTCCATAGGTAATTGTGGAAGCACCTTCTAAAACGGCAACTATGGCTCAGCCTTCACCTGTCAGGTCTGGAAAGGTGACAAAAGTTCTACTTACAACCAGAGAGAGAGGAACCAACCTCATTGGTAAGAATATCTTAAACAGAAATCTGGTGTACAAAGAACTATGTTGGCAACAGAGGGGATTACGTTATTGAAATATTTCTGGTTTCAGCTTATCTGTTTTCTTTGTAGGTAAATCTAGACGTTCAAATGTTTCAGTTTCAGCTTTTCAGTTGCCTTTTCTAAAATAATTAACAAAAATGCTAGTTTAATCTTTTTTCTTTTTTTAAAAAATATAATATATGGTGTTTTAGCTTTCTCTTCCGATTTGCTCTCCAGGGACTTGCTCATCTACCCAGATAGAAGCTATTTCAAAGCTTCAGCCGGAGAAATCTTTAAGCTGCCATCTTAGCTTTACCAGTGACACTGTTGACTTCTCTGCCAATGATGTCTTCAAAACCCACACAAGCTTTGACTCCAGCATTGGTAAGACTAATTTAAATTTAGGTTAAAATTGTGGGCTCCTGACAACAGAACCTTTTGAACAATTTTCTTAAATAACATTTTCTGATGCATTTGCATACATTTCACTCATGAATACTTTATTTGTTTAATGTCAATAGTTTTTGTTGTAGGGATGGATGATATTATCGGCATGTTATCGGTACATGCTGAAATTAGCTTTTAAACGACATATCATACATACGCCATTCCACCAATATAATTAAGCAATAAATAATATTTATTTTGTCGACAAACAAGTGATGATTATGCCTGCAGCACCAGTGGATCCAGTGCACCTAATTGTCCTATTTGCAATCCAAAAAGGAGGGAGAAAACTACCTAATGTCTGTCAATAAGTCTAAGAGGAAAATAACCAGTTATCAGTCAGTTCAGTTGATAATATATTAGCATATCAGATATCGGCCAAAATTCCAATACTGTACATTCCCTCTTTACTGGTAAGCGTCACAGAATGCCCAGATCTCTGCTTTTAATGTTGGAGAAGCTTTTTCTTTGCTTTGGATTTAACCTGTAGGTGACTGATGTTTTTTAAATTGGGATGCTTGCCTCCATACCATTTTAAGCCCACTAGGTGACATATATATATAGATTTTCCTCGTTTTTAGGAAAGGAAAAAAATCTTCAAATCTGACCTGCTCATAAAGTTTTGTAAAGGATTGGGAATTGTCTGCTAACCAGACCATAATGTCACTTAAACTCTCATTCATGCATCTTTTATTTAAATAATTTAACTATCTATTCTTGGCTTAGTTTCTTGTTTTCCTTTTTTTGTGATCTGTTCTTAGAAAAGGTACATTTAAATCTTAGAAACAGTGTTTATGTCTGTGCTCTTCATGAGAGCAGAAAAATAGTGTTTACAAGGGCCTAATCAATACCTGCATTGCCCAAGGAATGAATTTAACAGAGGCCATAAAAGGTGTCCGAGTGATGTATCGAACTCTGGTGACTCCATGTTGCTTGAAAGCACTGATGTAATTGTGTTTGGGCTTTGGGACTCGCCCTAGTTGCTTGTTTATCACTGCTGGCCTCCACTAGGTGTGCTTTATCGTACAGTCCTACAGCTTCCCACTTGTTTTCTAAATACTCTGTTTAATTGTGAACCCGGGGTTGGATGTTAGAACTCTGGACTTTGCAGTAAACTTTGTTACCTAAAGTTCATGTAGATATTTTGCGCCTTTTGTAAGATCAACACTTGAAGACTTCTGAATATTGTGAAGTGAAAGGAAAACAATACTTGCTGAATGAACAAACAAATCAGCAAACTGTCCTTAATGTATGAATTTATCTCCAACAGGTCCGTTCTGTGTATAAACACCTGTTGCTGTACATATTTTTCCCATTTTTTGTGATCAGCTCTAGCTCTTTCTCACTGGATGGAGACCATCTGGGAACATATCTTTCCAAGTCTGGCCACACATTGGCTATTAGATTAATTAAACTTTGACTAGGCCATTTAACACACAAATATACTTTTACCAAATCCACTAATTGTAGCTCTGGCTGAGCTTATGGTCTTTTTTTCCACTTCACTGTATGATAATGTTTAGTCTCAAGTCTTTGCAGCATCTAAGAGATTTAATTCTTCTAACTTCAACCTGACTCTGAAGAAATATATTCCCACAGCATGGTGCTCCCTCCACCAAATTGTACCAGAGGAGCTTTGATATAATTGCTTTATCCCCTACAGGGTTAGTTGCAAACCTAAAGCAAATTTTCTTGCAGGTTTCCTGTAACTATTGACTTTTTCTTGCCATAAAAGTCAAATGGTTGGAGTAGATGACAAACAGCCATCTTCTCATTAGATGCTTCCACCTTAGCTATTGACATCTGCAGCTCTCATAGTGTTACCTTGTTCCTCTGATTAATGCATTCTGTGCCTGTCTTGTTAGTTCAATGGACAGCCCTGCAGTTTGTGGCTGTCCACCTGTTTTCACGACACTGTTCGTTTCCTGATGCTCTCCAACAAACCTCTGAGGCCTTCAAAGAATAATATATATTGATATATATTGATTCAATAACACACATATTTTATTTTCCCTTCGACATCCACAGACATAGGTTGCACTGGTTATTTATTTAGTGGTGTCAAATCAAATTTGGCCAAATATAAATCCACGTCAACTTGTAAAGCAAAAAAATAAAAGGATGACTCTCTTTCTAATTAAGCCCATGACTAATACGACCATCCCTTTTTAAATCTCTGTTTTTGCTCCAGGTCTCTACACATGTTCTATGACCTTGCTGCCCATGACTGACCAACAGACACGTGTGCTTAGCATGTCTATGAGCAACCTGCTGGTGAAGGCAGACCTGGTTGGCAGCGTCTTCACTGGAGAACAAGTCAGCGCTCGGCTGCCTATAGAGCCAGGCCTTTTCTCCGACCAGACAGAACTGCTGCTCTCCAGCCTGCACCCATCTGCTGAGTTCACGGTTTATGGGCCTTTTAGCATTCTGTCCAGCTTGGAGGTCAGGAGTTTGTTTGGTAACGTGTAAAAATACAATAGAAAGCTTTGTAACCTGCTATAGGTAAACACATTTTGCTGTCTCTAGGTGGTCCCTTCTTCTCCCAGTGTTATGGTCTACGAGAAAGAGGTCCATGAAGAGTTTCCAAGTTATACCAAGTACACTGTTAATGCTGTGGACCTTCATTCAGCTGTTTCAGCCTCTATCACAATAAGCAGCCCTTCCTCCGGCCAGAGTTTAGTAATCCCGGTCAGTTTCATTCATGTCGGTGACTCCAGCTCAGCCAGACAAGGTCAGACACTGTTCTTGTGTGAATATTAATCTGCTTAGCAACAGGTTACCAAATGTGATCTTCTTTTGGTGACATCTTTCCCAAAATAATGTATTATTACAGTCAGTACTTTTTTTCATTCATTGATCTTCCATCAAAGTTCTGCTTTTTTTTTTTTCTTCTTTTTTACAATTAAAATAGCAAACCTTACTTTGCAGGGAAGCAATAAGTCCTGTCCAGAAACTATCCTTACAAATTTGACTTTCTCTACAAATCTGCTAAAACATTCCCTGAGTAACATGTGATTATTATTAATGTGAGGACAATCCAGATCCAAGCTTTGATATAAGCATATGCACTCTTAACTCTTACATCTTGGAAATGTATATAAAAATAAGACTTAGCTGAAAGCCAAGGATTTAAATAGCTGGCACTGATCTGTGATCAGTAATTATTATGACGCTTTACTGTTTAATGAACGATGTTGAAGTTAAATAACAATTGTGTAAAAAATAACATGTCATGCCAGACCTCAAAAACCTCTGTTTTAGTTTTATTTTATTAGGAAAAGCTGTTGCATAGTTACCATAAATTGGTAAATGATATTTCAAATTTACATCACACGGTCTTTAAACTCCTAAATCTAGAACGTGCAAAAGAAAGCACTAATTTAAGTTAGACTTCTCGGTTACAAACATGTTTTATGACCAAGGCTGTAATTATTCCTTTGAATGAAAACCTGACGCACTAACTTACTTTTTGTTGATAAACATGATTTAAGCCCTGCTAGGTCCTCTGGCTCTTAGATCTTAGACATACTTTGCTTATAGGAGATTGTTAACCAAGAACATGATGTTACTGGGGGAAAAAAAAAACAGGTGCTGAAGGTTTAAGTTCAAATCATGCAGAAGGGAAATCTTTCTTCATTAATCATTATGAGGATGTACATGGCGGTTTACTAGAATGTGTGCACTATGTCCTCATCACTTTAAAAAAGCCTCAACAATCTATTCACATTTTATCTGCTTCCTCCCAGCTGTGGCTCCTCCAGGCACCTCCATGGAGAACAGCAACTCCTTCCACAGCTTCATAAACTCCTACCAGATGATGTTCTGCACCTTGTTTGCTTTGCTGGCTGGCACTGCCATCATCATCATTGGTAGGTGTTATGCAATTAGTTACTGTTGTGACTTTATTTAACTTCATGTGTCGTTCTGTGAACACATTCCCAACTAGCCTTGTTAGGAAAAACAGCTGAAAGTTTGATTCAAACTCAGATTATGGTTAATTGGTTAACTCTGCACATATATGGAATAAATTTTAACTTCCTTTCAGAATTAAGAATGTATTAACAAAAAAATTAGTAGCATAAGGTTAAACATATTTCAGTTGAAAACTCTTAACTAAGAGATTGAAACTCAGCAAAAATGAACGAACTATTGTGTTAACTTAAAGGGGGTAATGAAATAGTTGCAATGATATCACAGTTGGGCATGGATTTTATGCTTGTTTTTCTTAGTCGTAGGGACGTCATATTTGAATGTCAAATCATTCTGGCTTAATCATGTATATAAATGTACACTTTATCAGACTGTCAATCAAATGTTTTCGGTCATAGCATCTTGATTCATATGTCCCAGCTAATAAACGCAACGGTTTAAATAAGAATCATTTGCTTTACCATTGAGTTCCGTCCCAGTGTTCACGGGAATGGGCATCTGTGTCTTCGGCAGGCGTAGAGCTAACAAAACTGGCAGCGTTGCCAGGCAAGGGCTCAAACATGTACGGCTGTAAGCCTTCTACACCAAATTAAGCTTTTGCCGCCCTGGCATCCTCTTTCACAACAACTTTGTCCCCGCTTTCCTCCTCTAAATAAAAAGTGAATGACGGAGGAGACTCACCCATGACCTCCGACACAAAACTCTCCTCCTCTTGCATGTTTCCTCTGTCCATAGCGTTCCTTGACAGTGTCGTTGCTAAGTGCTACTTGGTCCCAATGTAAATTTCCATTGGGAACCTACTAGCACTAAGTTGCTAACTGGTTAGCAAGATGCTTCCGAGACATTGGCCACAGCTAAACTTGCTTGCGAACCTTCCGCCACAACAATCCCGCCCCCTTGATTAACAACCAATCACATTCACTTTATTCACTCGTGTAAACTCGGGCACCACTCGGGAGAATTTAGAAATGCAACGGTTGGAACAGCTGCTTCCCTACAACTTTAAAGTCTTTAGAATGAGGTCAAATTAGCTTTAAACTAATGATGTGTTCAAACAATTCAACATTTTAATTAAGGATTTGCCTGATCAGAAATTAATATTAGTTTAGATAAGATATTCTTAACTTTCTGTGATTACTTCTTAGTGAATTTTTAGAAGAATTGCTTTTTGCTTCTTTTGCTAGGTTTGGTTTAATAAAGCAATGGAGCTAAATGCTAGCAGACACTACAGAACTCATTTTAAAGATTTTTCTCATATTTAAGGAATCACATTTCATGAGCAGTTCAGAAAACTTAAACATTAGCATCATGTTAGTCTTGAAACCCTTATTGAAATGGTTTGTCTTAACTTTTTAAACAACTCTAAAGATGTTAGGATTGGGATAGCTACAATGCAGTTACTATTAATTTCTGTAAGCTTGTTTTACTCAACAGAGGAATCACTATTGATCTCTGTTTTTGAAAGATGGGGCATCTTCAATGTTCTGGTGCTGGCTGTGTTCTCAATGGACTCTGTTCTGGATAGCCCAGCCTGAAGGCTAGATGTGTCCTTTGTTCTGCCTCATTCAGCAGTCTCTCAGATTTTTCAAGTTACTCCCGTAATTCGGACAGAATGTTGCACACATTCTTGTTGTGGATGGTTCTGGAATCTGGTTCTGGAAGTAGCTTCAGCTCTACTTAACTGATCAGTCTGAAGAGGGAAATTTCCATGGCCTGCAGGGAAAGCTATTCTGTATTTCTCTCCAATGCAGCCTGGTCTAAGTGTACAGGAAATGCAAGATTGGGTTGCTGGCATGACGGACAGCTCATTTTAAGGAGTTGAAAAGCATTTAATTAGTAATCTAGTTTTAGTCAGCACAGAGTATTTAAAGAAGACCTGATATGTGTGTAAAAAGTCTAATATTTGACCAAAAGACAGAAGTCTAGATTAAAGTAAAAAATAAAAAATAAATTGGAAAAGGGTTTATGTCAAAGAAAATGGCTTCAAATGGGTTGTTTGTGGTGAAAATTAGGTTTTGCAGGTGTTCAAACCTTGTATGCTTTCAGCTGTCTGTGGGACAGATCTATCAATCAGATCTTGATTAGCTGGTTGGCTGATGCATTGGATCCATATCAGCCTTTTACTTTACTCAAACACCCTACCTCTTCATCCTGAAAAGCAATGTGACTTTGCTACAGTGTTTCTGATTGTTTTGCCTTTTAAAATGATGGAATGTCTGTGAAAGTTTTAATGCATGTGGCTGAATGTGAGGACAAGATGCTCCTCCATGAGTCTGCATTTATTCATGCTTTTTTGTTGGCAGAGATTCATTAAAATGCACCAGTTCTATTGGCAGCAGTACATACAATAACAGAAGCTGTGACAAGTACCTCAGTGATGCACACGAGGCACTGCTCAGGGTCTCTTTCTTTTCGGGGGATTTTTTCACTAGAAGATAAGATATATTATCAGTCTGCCTTCATAACGTCCCCAATTATCTCATTGAGCTTTAGCATTATAGCTAAGAACTTTTATCAGGTGTAGGAAATGGAGCTGGTCAAAGCCCATCCAGCTATCCAAATATTGCTATGGCAAGTATAGGTTTAAATTATGGTCTCTAAACAGACTACTGCATCTATGTAGTTTTTAGTCATGCAATATCTTACAGAGTGATACTATGATGATGCTTGCCAGTCAATATGTTATGCAGGACTAGCTCCCTGTTTGCACCTGTGGATTAAATGTGAGGACATGTTACCATTATCGTGAAAGCAAGCAGATTCCCATTAATGCAACTAAAGATTTAAATGTATGACATAAACCCAGATTTGTAAAAGTTGGTAAAAATTAACAGTAATCCATATTTTTCGTTTAAAACTAGAACTTTTTACTTCAAAAAGGTATAAATTTTACAGTATTATCCTTTTAACAAACAGTGGAGTGAGAGTGCCACCGCCCTTGCAAAGTAGAGAAAAGCGAAATTAGCAGGATGTAAACTATTTCTATTCACATCCTGAAAACCAGTCAGGGACCAGATGTGGCTGTGACATAGAGTGAAGGAGTCAGTGGAGACTAGCTTTTTTTCAAAAATCAAAATTGAAGATGGAGAGAAATATATTGACAAAGTATAAGGAAACCTCTTAAGTTTTAGGTGTTATTTAACAAAAAAAAAAGAGGTTTAATTTTGTCCTTGGACTGTTCATCCAGACCATACACCGGCCAGTTTCCAGCAGGTGCCTCCCTTAGGCCTTGCTTAAAGCGGTCGTGAACCAGCCACTCCTGGGCTCTCTGAAATGGGAGCACCTCTGTAAGATCTGCTGGAGCCAGGGATGCTGGCCGCTTTGCTCTGCTTTAAATGTATATACAGTACCGTGAGTCGCTCCGTAAAATCCCCATCCGTCACATTAAGGGGAAACTGACAACCAGTAGACCACTTTTGCGATACAGATTGCTTTCATTGGGCAGGTGAAATGTCAGGCGAGCAAAGGCACAGGAAGCTGGTTCATTGTTTGCATGTTTCAAGTTTGGTTTAGGAAAAAAAAAATTTTCTTTGTCAGTTTGGAAATTGGAATAACATTTTCTAAGATTACAATTTAAAAATTGCAAATAACTGTTTTGAAAAACATTTTTGCCATCACAAAACCATCCATCCATTTTCTTCTGCTTTATCCGGGGCCGAATCATGGAGGAAGCAGTCTAAGCAGAGATGCCCAGACTTCCCGATCCACACACACTTCCTGAGATGTCACAAAACCATTGTTGCTAATTTCTCATAGCTTTAAATCTGAAACTGTTTAGCATGGCTACACAGTGCTATTTAGGTGATAACTATAAACACTTGAGTTTACCAAGTGTTTATATTTATGAACAGAATTACTTTACACTTGAGCAGAGACTGGTTTGCACAAGAGGAGAAGGAAGTAAACGAAAGAGAAAAAAAATATCTGTGCAAGAACAAAGATTTGATGGAGAAAAAAATACATTTGAGAGAAAGCAGAATTTTTGAATGTTGAATTCAAGTAGAGGAAATCTTAGTTTTTGCGGGAAAAATCCTCCATAATTTTAAACTACATTAATCATAAGTCGATCACTTGTTCCCATCACTATTTTGAATATAAAACCTTTAGTTCCTAACTTATTAGCTGCTTATATCCATATATTTTTTTTATTCATCTATTAGTCATGTGTTGCATATATTATGTGTATCAAGCACAGCATGCATTTAACTCTGTAAGAGCCCTAAAATTGCCTTCCATCTAGATTTCCCCTGTTTGCATAATTGGAATAATTATAATGTATTTGTTCTTTCCTGCAGTCCTGCACTCATTGTTGTCACCAAAGGAGCAATCATATCACCCGGCTTTCATCCAGAGGACACCACCATCCACCACTGGTAGGAAACAAAAAGTTTCAAAGCTTTGTCCACAAAATGATTTTAAAACTAATGGATTCAAATTAACACACTTTGAAGCGGCTGTTAATTTCTCCTGATTCAGTAAAGATACATTTCAATTCTCCACAAGACATTTAACATATCCAAGTCCACAGGCAGTCAGTAGATAAATTAAAGATTATTATTATTTTATTTTTTTATCCTAGAAAGTAAAGCAGTAAAAATATGCCATAGCACAGAAACAAGTGATGATTTTCTATGAATGGATTTAAAAAGATTAGTTAAGGGGGCTGTTTCTTCTAGTGGTGCAGCACTTTGGGTTGTAATGCCAGTTTCTCTACTGGTTAGATCTGCTTATTCCAGTTTGTGCAAATTCCAATTTAATTTCTTTGTCCACTTTAAAATGGGGACCATATCCACTTTGCTACCATCTGAACACATATTTGCCACAGAAATGTTGTGGCATGTATATTCAGACTATAAGCAGTAAAAGAAGTCAACCATATAAAGGTCGAGCTGTGAATTTAGACTCATCTGCTAAGAACAAACGTCATGTTAACTTGGCACTGCTTGAGGAGCAGTGCAGCAGGCAGACATGGATTTTGGGTGCAAGATTCCCTCCAACTGGTTATAGCAACAATATTTTTCACTTGAGGCTCTGGATGCCATGCTGCATACACACGTGTATCCCTGGGAGCTTTATCTATGGAAGAAGGTATAGCTAAAACATGTATGCTGTGTTTTTGTCAGATTTCCACTTGACATTTAAATAAAAATTGGATATAAAAGGGAAAGATCTGGCTGAGCTTTCCTTATCAGTGATAAATTTGATTCCTACATTTCTCGCAAATGTTGAATCATTTTTTGACCAAATTACTAATGATCTAATGTGTTTACAGCCGAACACTTAAACTGGACATTTTCTATTAATAGATTTAATGAACAGGAGCAATTAAATCTAATGTTAATCTAATGATCACCAGGCAGAGCAGAAAGAGGAGAATTTGCCAGTTTTGATCACTGACTGATTGTTCTCTTAGTAGCTTATTCAAATATTCTGGATTTATAAGGCAAAACATTTTTTGTTTTTTGTTTTTTTTTAGCTAAACTGACAGCTTAGAGTTGAAATCGTAGCCCTGTTCCTGGAATTGAATGAGGGTCAGTGAATCTATTCTTGTCAGCTATAAAGCTTCTAGGTATAAAATAGCCACAGCACCAGGTTTCAGCAGGCTTATGTTTAGTATTTTCTAGCTCTCAATATATTTGTGTTTCAAATGTTTTGATCTTTGTTTTTCAGACAGACTTTGATTTGTTGGCTGTCTGATGTGAAACTCACACAGACGGCTGTTGAGCTATGGTCAACTGTCCCTCAGGTGGACAAGCTGTTGTTTTTTTTCTTCTCCTTACATTATCGCTGCAAAGTTGGTCCTCGACCTCTGGATTTGTTGAGAAGTCTTTGAAAAAGAAATCAAGCCCCGACACAAAGGCAGGAGTTTTATTAAAATAGATAAAGAAGAAACAATTGACTATAAAAGCAGCATTTAATAGTCTTGGACATAGATGATCCTCTCTGTCTGATTATTACATAAAATTTACATTTTTGGTCATTCCACTCAAAAAAGGAACCTATGCTCTAAAGGTATACTGTATGGCCTGTAATACATTTCAAGCATTTACTTCTAATGTTGGTGTTACTGGTTTCCAGGTAACCAAAGAAATATAAAATGACAATAATCTGGTTTGAAAAGATTTTTAGCAGTACAACCTCTAGCCGACTATAAAGTGTCAGAGCATAGTGTGTTTATTATGTACCTGATCAGGCTTCTTTTTGCATTAATTACTGCAATAATGCAGAGTGGTGTAGAGGAAGCCCAGGTTAGCTTATAGCAGACTTCAGCTCATTTTAGTTTGGTTGGCTGTTTCTCATCTTCCTCTTTATAACTGCATATAGATTACAATTAAAACAAAATGTTTGCTTGTTAATCAGGTACAGAAACACCATGATCATTAAAACCATTTTACTAACTTTAGCAGAGTGTTTAACCGATGCCACTGAAGAATAAAATCAGCCTCCTAAAGCTTTTCAGCAGAAGGAACAGGAAGTGTTTAATCTGAACATGATGAGACACAGTGGACCTCCTCTCAATCAGATGGCATGACATCCTTCACATTAGACATATGCTTCCCTACTCCTCCTTCATGCTGGGTCCTTAATTTCCAATAAAAAACATCTTTTATCTGAAAGAAGGACTTTAGGCAGATGAGAGCAACAGTCCAGTCTTTGTAACCATTTAGCTGTGCTGATAGGCCTTTTGTAGCCTACATCAGTGCTCTGCCTCTTAAGGCACTGATGCCAGTAAACATTTTGGTAATATCCTCCAGATTCTCTCATCCCCTCCTCAAGGCAGAGGTTATCCTTCATGCTAAAGTTCCCTTTCCTATCAAACCTTCTTCTTCCTCTCAACTTTCTGTTAATATGCTTTGATGGAGTTTTGTAGAAACCACAAACGTCTGTGACAGTTACCCCCTGTGGCTTCCTGTCCCTGTGCAGGGTGTCAATGAATTTCTGCTCAATCCCCATCAAGTCAGCCATCTTCTCCTAACTTGTGTAAACCATAGTATAACAACAATAGAAGCCTGTAAAATTCATATCATTTTGGAATCTATTTTCACTTGGAAATATAACTTCTGGATTGGATGAGCTGTATCCTATGATTATTGAAATAAACCCTTAAAATAAGTCATTGTGTGAATATAATTATTTGAAATGTATGAAATTAAATGTTTGTATTATACTCAAATTTGTTAAAGATTCACCTGTTTTTTTTTTAATCGTACATTTTCAGCCTCTAATTGCCGTCACCTCTCTGTAGGCAATAATAATTCTCTAAGCCTTTCTGCATTGTATTCTGTGTACTTCATTAACAATTTGTTATCTGACTATTTTAGGTCAAGACTCGCCCTTCGCAAATTCTTTCAACCGCAGGACAAGAGTTAGTCCAAACAGCTCTTACTCGCAGCTCTATTCTCCAGACTACAAGTCCTGATTGGGCCTTCTGCTCGCTCCCTCTGATCATTAACATGGCAGCATCTCAGGCCATTAATATATGAAGAATGTGCCTCTGATCCTCAGCTTTGGGATGTTGCAGAATATCTTTTTTTTTTTTTTTTTTTTAAAGATGTTAGTAAAGAAACTTAAAAAAATAATAAGTTCAGATATATCAGAAGAAGTTGATGCAAGGATCCTTCCCCCTTTTTTTGTATGTTTTATGTTTAAGTGTGATGTGCTATTTGTATATGAAGATTGTGAGTGATGTGGAAATATACATAGTGTCCTGATTTGTTCTGTTCTGCCACTCAATGACAAATATTTGCAAAGTGCTTGAAAACCAAATCATTATTTTATTCTCAATGTTGTATGAAAGCCAGAGGTTTGACTATTTGACATCAGCCTGTGTGCCGCTTGTATTCAACTATGAAAGTCAGTAACTCAGGAAAAGAACATTTTCAAGAAGCAAGCTAACTTGTTTTATTTTTTTATAGACCTTTGCTTGTTGTAGCTTTGATAACGATCCACTGAATCCGTCCACAAAGGCGCTGAACCCTCCAAATGTGTTAAACTCCGACAAAGTTGGTCTAATTTTTGTCTCGGGCATTTCTTATTTCATTATTTTGTCGTTTTGATGTTTGAGCCACAATGAATGCAGCTCTTGTTTGGTTTGTTAATGTGAAATTTATCTGCAGCAGGCGTGTCTTTACAAAAGCACTCAAATGTGACCTGCCGTCATCTTGAAAAAATGTGATCGTTTTGGGTTTTTTTTTTTGTTTTTTTCCTTGGTAGTTAACGACCTGTATCAGTGTTGAAAGACTGATTCACCAACATGTGACTTGGGTTCAAGTGACATCTTTTGGTATTTGATTATTTGCCCAGGAATGTATTTATGTTGGTTATCAATTGATGGTTACGCCTTACATTCTACTCTTAACAGCTTTTGGCACATAATTACTTTTGTTTGCTTGTGTGTGAGTGTGACTGTATTTGCTAATTAAAGATTTTACATTTTATGTTTGTCTCATCTGTGTTTATAAATGCACATGTGATAACATAGTTTAACTTTCTTTTGCATTAACATTACCAGCCAGATCATCTATTTTAGTTTAACAGAACTCTGATATATTTGCAACTTGGAAAGATGGAAACCAGAGTTATGCTATGTTAGAAATTCAAGGTGAATCTCAATAAATTGAATTTATTGTAAAACTCAATTTATTTGTTATGCAATTTAGGTTAAACCATAAAATGTTTTGATTTATTGGTGACAGAAAATCATTTAAAATCAAATGGGTTTCCCAGAAAATGGGGATATTCTGAAAATTGATTTTTAACTCTGGAATGTTCTAAACAGTAATAGGGTAAGTTTAGAGGAACTCGGAGAGCCAAAGTTCCTTTTAGATTAGGTAAATTTCAAGTCTATAGTATAGAAATGAAAGTCCTGGAAGAAGCATGGAGAGCCGCAGGCGTTCAGTTTGGGGCAAAGGATTTTAGGGAGCAGTATCATTAGCTCCAGATTATCCACAGTTAAGCTGCCTACTAGGAGGTTTTAGGTTTCTCTTAACACCTTTAGTTGCTAATCTTTAGTAATTTCTATCATTTTTTAGTTAATTTTGCTTCCAGCTAAACCTCCCTGCTGACACGCTCTCCTGTACCATCGTATCGTCTTTCAAGGCCATGCTCTTGTCAATCTCCCCTCAACAAAGCAGTTAAAAGATTTTTTTTTTAGGGCTAGCTACAGTGGTGTGAACTTGTTTACTCCTTTTTTAATATATTTTTGTCACACTTAAGTCATTCAGAGCCACAAACTATTTTAATTAGTCAGAGTGACTCATTTTTCACACTGCAGTTTACCTCCAGCCACATTCAGACTTTATTACTGCCAAACCTGCTGTCAATCAAGGCATCACTGAAATAGGACCTATCTGGACAAATTGAGTACATCAAATATTGAACCTTATTCTGCAGGTTTGTATTTATTTTTGTTTGTAAATGTGATGTATGAAGTTGCCATGGATTTCTCCAAAGTATATCAAATATCTCCGTGCTCAACAAAGTGATGACTGCCTCTGACCCTGCCTACTCCATTAGAGGGGATTGAGGTCATCCCTCTGCTGATTCATCTGTTTTGTTTTTTTATTCTCCCTGGTTTAAACACTCTACCTTGGTGCTCAGCACCAGTTTATCTTTAGTTATCTTTCTGCTAACCTGCTACATCAAGCACTAAACAAAATGTGCACTTAGTGGATAAGATGAGGCAGAGAGCCCTACATCAGCAACATGCAGCAAAACAGTTGTTCCCACGATGGTGAGAGAAATCCTTGACAGGGTTCCAATAACTATTCCTGCACTGAAGGTACATTTGACACATACAAAATGACATTAAAATACAATGTGGATTTTTTATAATGACATAAAAGCACAATTCTGTTTTTATGTATAAGTGTTCAAGCTGAAAATTACAAATAAAGGATTTTGTGTAAGTGTCTTTCTGGGGTCAGAGGAACTTTAAACTTGCCAGATGTGAGCTGCTGGAATAAGAGATGGATGGGATGAGTAATGCAGCTCAGATCTTATGTTTAGTTGTTTTCTCCAAGGTGAAGGAGCTGCTGCTGCCATTAACTCTGGACCAAAGCTTGTGGGTTTTTTTTTCTTTTTTTATTTAATGGGGGAGTCCTGTCTTCTGTTGCCATAGTCACCTGTCCACTGTTGTCATTTGCTTCATGTGTTTATTCAGGAGGTATCGCTGCAAATTCAGTCACTTGATATTAGTCGCATAGAAATTATTTAACCAACTGGCCCATCATTTAAGTTGTCTGCAAGATTTTCTTACAAATTAAGTTGAAATCTTTGACATCAACCCAGAATCTGTTCTTTAAATCTGGCATTGAATATATATTTCTGGATGTAAATGAAATGTTAGGCGAAAGAAAAAAAAAATAACTCACAATTTTTTAGACCCTTTGACACCTGATCCAGTATGCGTCCCGTTTTTCAGAGACCTTCCCCTAAACTGCTGTGGTGGTGTTAGTCACCGAGCTCATTTGTATGCCCGCAGCAGCAGCCTGACTCAAAACCTGATTCACAATCTCACGTAGGTGAGAGCCCTGTACACTACGACATGATATGGAAGGCAGCATAACATGAGATTGGGGTTTACTAAAGCTGTGCGGCTGTCAAAGAGGCTTATTTGGATGTTTTCTTTCATGCATAAACACTTTTTAGTGGCTTGAGTAGCTGAATAGTTGATATGCTGAAAAAAAAGTCTAAATAAAACATCCTATAGGAAAATTGACTCGCTGGAATTGGTTGTCTGGCTGAGAGTCCAAGCTCATGAATAAAAGTATGACATTGTTAAGAGAAACTGTTCCATAAGCAAAATGTAAACTTCCCTGATTGTTCAACCTTTACAGCAAGTTTTACAATTTTTGTTTGTTTTTCACACCTTAGAAGAAAACAATTTGTTATAACAAAACAGATATGTTTGTTTTTACACAAATGTATACAGCAATCTTTGCATCAAAAATGTCTGACATGGAGATAACAAAACAGCTGCTTCTAAAAATAATAATAATAAAAAAAAAGGTCTACAAATACAATTTTCCTGAGCGTTAAGGGTGAAAGGTTTTGTTGCAGTGCAAAAACACTTCAAGACACCTTAGTGACCATGAATTGCCTGTTAAATTTCCGGCTGCATTTCCTACTGACAAGTGCTCAAATTATCTTGTTTGGACCACCTTAGAGCAATTTTAGAAAAATCTACTCAAAGTAAATATTAAGGACAGACTGAAATTGTGCAAGGAAGTACATGAAGTGACAGCAGAAGGCTGGTGTGGTTATTCTATTTGTTTATTCCTGTTTAGATGAGTCTCCTGGTGATGAAAGAGTGAAACGAGAACATTAAAACAAGCCTAAAGGGCTGCTTTACACCCAATAAAATGGACATAAATGCAGTTCTGCCCCCAAACACCTATTAGAAGGAATATTGAGATTGAAATGTCAAATTAATGAGGATCTTTGTATTTTCCAGCACGTTGAAACAGTGTGTCACAGCACAAAAGAAATCAGAAAAGGGACACACAGATAACAATATTATAATTCACTCATGGTTCAAAATTCCAGTCATTTTAAAACTATTAGGAATCTGTGGTTGCTTCTAAAAGTTTAGGAACATAAACAGAAGAGAGTAAAGCTGTGATCAACTGCAGGCACTAACAGGATGAGAACGGATCAATAGCCATCAGGATTTGTACCAGAAGCTGATATGAAGCATGTGGGTCAGCACTGTTAATATGGACTCTGATAGCTTTGATATAGTAAGAGACCATTACCTTTATAACATATCAAAGAAACACTTAAAAGTACAAAAGCTGTTTTACTACCAATGCTCTTTAAGTGTTGATATATGCTCGCTTGATGTTTTAGATATGTCATTTTTTAGATTAATTCACAATTCTGCAACTTTACCGGGTTGCCTTTTTTTCATGGGATCATTAATTCTTTAAGGTGGGGTAAGGCAGATACATCCCAGATTCATGCCAGAAATCTGTTTATGGGTTTATAAAGCTCAAGAGGGCCTCTGTCTAGCTCAGAGTGTGTGTTTTCTAGATGCCGGTTGGCTAAGAAGAAAGAAAACATGTAAACTTTGTGCAAAGAAGCAATGGAATAAACTCACTGGCTGCCTGACTAATTTAGCAAATGGTTATCTGAGGCATTTGTTGCAAACCAGTTTTAATTAACTGTCTGCTTTAGTTAAAATGCAAAAGTAAAAGTGACCGTTTTTCTTTTTTTTTCCACCAGTAGGTAGTGGCATGTAGGTTTTCAGTGTGACTGCACTTTTTCAATGATTAAAGCTGTTGCCTCAGCTTAAACGGCACTCAATTTATTCTTTCCATTAAAGCATGCAGACCATCCAGCCCCTGACAGCAGCCTGTCGAGCTCATCCCGCAGTGTCCAGAGTGAAGGGAAACTGTTCCACATGGCTTACTGTGCTGTCAGTGGAGGTGATCAATGAGGGGCTAACTGACTGAACCTGACCAAAATGGTTAGGCTGCTCCTGCTGGACTGCAGGTCTGCTGGTAAAACACTCCTTCCTTTAGGAGGAAGGCTTTGGTTATTTCTCTTAACTTTAAGCTAAGATGCAGAGATTTTCTCTGTTCTTTGTTTTTTCTTTAAATCACTCTTAAATTATTCAGAGCAGAGATAAATAATGACGATTAACCCGACCAAATATGCAAAGATAATGTAAGCCAAACATTTTATCCAAGCCAGAGAAGCCATCTTTTCTTTTTTAAGAATCTTTTAATTAACACAGGAGTTTTACAGATTGAACTGCATGTTTTGCTTCATACCACAAACAGGCGTAAATACAGACACTTACTTGGTCACTATAAAGCTTTTTTTTTCATAGTGCTTTTAAATATTGTTCAAATTGTGCTTTAGTTTAAGGTCACAAACTCCTGGCAAGAAATTAGACTGACTGACT